AAGTCACTTCATCTTTCTCAGCCTTGGTTTCCTTATCTGTGAAATGGGGATAATAATATCTCACAGGGTTACTGTGGGAATCAAATGAGGTATTACATATAAATGTCTTGCAAATCGTAAAGCACTACATAAATTCTTCTTCTTCTTCTTCTTATTAATCTTCATTCCTCCCAAATCAGAATTTCCCCTTGCACTCATAAGGTCCCTAGAGAGGGTGGGCTCAAATTAAGGCACAATGGTCTCAAGGCATATGTGTAGAGCGGAGGTGTCAAACTCATGGGCTGTGACCCATAGAACTCTAACCTGTAACTTGAACCAGATTAAAATGTAATTGAGAAAAAGTTCACAAAATTAATAGAAATAGAATACCACATAAGTAATATGAATATATGTAATATATATGGTTTCCTAAGTCAATATTTGGCCCCCAGGGATCCCTTTCTATTTCAGTTTTACACCACTGGGGCAGAGGACTAGTGGGGCCCAGGGGCACTTCCCAACTCCTGGCCATAGAAGGCCTTTTTTTTTCTTTTCAAGGAGCCCTTATAATATTACCCTTAAGTGAAGCTCTCTGTTGGGCAAGTCAGCCACTGCTGGGCTGGACTGAGCACATCAGCTACTGGGCTAAGTCTCTCAGACGGCACCCTGTAGTCTCTCCAGACTTTGCAATGCCTAATAAGTTTCTGGCTGGGCACTTCCACTTCTAGGTTGGGGCTTTGTCACCATCGTGACTCTTACGGCTACTGCTACTAGGTCCAGTGAGTTCTGCTCCTGATCTGATGGGACCTCAGGACATCCTAAACTCACTAGGTCAGCTTGTTCATCCCATCTTGGAATACACATTTGCCTAAGTTCAGGAAAGTTATAAACACAAAAGTATCAGTGGAGACCTGTGCCCAAGTACATCTAGTGATCGGTTAGGAGAATGTAGACAGCTGCTCCTCTCCCACTAAGAGTTCAAAGTAGCTTTGCCTTGATGGAAACAACAAACGAAACAGCCTAGAGATGGCCATGTACCTTTTGTATTTATACTCAGTACTAGATCAATGCCTCTTGTGCCATTGACTCTACAATCAATTAGAAGACTTCTTGATCACATAGTACCGACCCTTCAGTCATTCCTTACCAGAAACCATCCCATCAAGGGTTTACATGATTGGATCGGAAGGTGACAGAGAATATATGTACACGCTTCACATACTGGCTCTTATAGGTCAATCTACCTATGCTACATGAGTATGCTGGATTCTGTTGAGCCCTCCATAGTTTCTGTTTTAAGGAGCTTGATATCCATTCTAGAAGGCTACTCCATGGTGGTGGGGTGGTTGTTTCATTTTCTTCCCAAAGTGCATAAAATGAAGACTTCATCTGTTCCAACTTCCTCCTCTAACAGGTAAGAAAACAGTTCTTCAGATAAGTAGAGCTGGAGTTTGCCACCTTCTTTTGTGTCATCGATACCTCTAGCAGTCTGGGGAAGCCTATGGACTCCTTGGAATAACATTTTAAGATAATTGAGGGAAATGTTAAATTTCAGTAAAAAGTTATTAGAAATAAAGATACAACAGTTTTTCCAATCAAGTTCACAGTTCCATGAAATCTAACCAAGGACCCTTTGGAGAATCTGTGGAGCCCAATTTAAGAACCCCTGAGATAGCATGACTTGCCCAAGGCTATTCTGCTCTATCATGGCAGATCTGGGCTTGGAAATTGACTCTTGCCTCTTGAAGTCTAGTACACGTTGAGATACAGGATGCTCACAAACATAGTGATCACTCCTATATCTTTGCAAATTGGAATTTGAGAAAAATGCCAGCCAGCCAGTCAGCCAGTGCTCACTCCTTTGGCCTCAACAAGTCCCTGGCATAGAAAGCAGGAAGGGAATCCCTCGTAAAACAATTGTGGGCAGGAGAAATTCTAGGGATAAAAAGAAAGCTTCTTGCTACTCTAAAGGAGCTGAGAATATTGGTAAGCCTTGTCTGACTTTTCAAGGCACTGCCAGTCTGTCGGGCTCTGTACCCACAGTGAGGTTTCATTAACATTCAAAGGGGGAAGTCACGGTGGAAGAAACCACTCAGGGCAGCACGCAAAGACAGGCTGTGTTTTAATTACAACTTGGACTTTTGAACAAATCCTTTCCTCTGCTTGGCTGAGCCTTAGAGAAAACAACTGGTGGGAGGCCTGTATTCAGCAGCTGGATCCACAGTGGTACCCATACAGCTGTGTACACATCTGGCAAACAGGTGTTGAAATGCATGTTCTTTCCCTCCTTGGATCAATAATGGGGTTGGTGGTTGCTGGTGGTAGAAAGGTAAATTGTCTGTGGGCCTGGTCTGGGCACAGAAAGGAGAAGCTGATGGCCCTAGTTTCTCAAGGAGGGCCCCAGAGAAAATGAAATGGTCCCTCCTAAGGCAGCAATCTCCACTCTTGTCACTACTATTTCAGGACATGAGCTGGGTTTGCTCCTGATACTTCCTCCTGTCACTCTTGAGTCAACATGGCATGCTCCTTTGTTGGGCTACCCCCATTCAAATCCCCCTCTCCAGCTTGGGGGAAGTCATAGGCTTGGGGGTTGGAGAAGGGGGAGGAGGAGATTAACAGGCTTGAAGTTGGACAGGCACAGATGCTCCCACCTGCTGCTGTCGATTCTCAAATGCTTGTTGACCCTCTGGGAGCGTTTGTCCTGAGTCTGTTTCACAGTTCATTCCAGGGGAAGGGGAGGAGAAGGAGGGCCCAGGGACAAAGGGACTTTGGCCGTCTCCTGAAAGGGGCTTGATTAGTTTGCTCAGGTTGGCAAACAGCAACTGCAGGCTCAACACACAAGAGATAAGTGTGTGTGTGTGTGTGTGTGTGTGTGTGTGTACATGTGTGCACTGGTCCAATATAGAGCGTATAACTTTAGGGTTGGGGAGGGAGAGGAAAATGCCCAGGGGTCTGGGGTGCCAAGGCATAATGAAGAAATTTAGCCACCACTCTGTAAAAGGAAGGAGAAAGGGGAAAGCACTAGGAGGTGACTAGATTTAGGGGACAGTGTGGTGTAGAAGAAGGAATATTGAATCTGACATTGGGGGGGGGTTAGTTCCAGTGGCAGATTTCTAGCTGTGTGACTCTAGGTAAGTCACTCAGATGCTCTGAATCTCTTTCCTCATTTGTAATACATAGATGATAATACTTGTGGATAATAATACATCACGTAGCTCACAAGGTTGTTGTGAGAAGAGTTTTTAAATTTTAAACTGTTTGATAGATGTGAGACCCCTAAATACACCCATGTATTAGCAAAGGAAGATCCTTATCACTACCTCTGCTGTCCCTGCTCCCCAGCTGTCTGCTTTCCTTCTGGGGATGAGGGGGAAGGGTTAGGGTTGGGATGGAGAGGTATTTCTCTGTGGTCTTGAGTAGGGTTTCTAGTTATACATGAGGGAGGGTGCAAGAGGCACCTATTGAGCGAGGGTCCAAGAATTCAGAGAGCTCTTCATCTGAATCGATGAACTGCTTGGCATTCACTGGCAGGTGGAATGAGGCCGGACAAGCCTCTGTCTGGGGGTGGGCAATCATTCCTGGGAGGCGGCCTTTGCTCCCCTGCAATGCCTTTCTCCTTCTCTCTGCTGCTCCATGATAAACACTTCTTTCCCCTTCTTCCTGTGCTCTTAGAATTCCTCTTCTTTGGAAAGCTTCCCAGATGAACCCTACCCCACTCGGATCACTCTGTAACTCTCTTCTCAATACTTAATGAATTTAGAATCAGAGAACCAGATTTTTAGAGCCAGAAGGGCCTTAGAGAAAAAGTAGCACAACTATACTTTATACTATTTAGAACATTGAATTCAGGGTCAGGAAGGCTGGAATTCAAATCCAGCCTCAAATATTTACTAGCTATGTAACCGTGCTCCATCTGACCTGTCCATCCCCTCTGATCCCTTCTCTCTCCTGTCATCCAGCAACATACAGAGTGAGATGAGGACATCTTTTTTGTTTGAAATGCATTTCCAGACATATCCAATTCTTACAGCATCTGTCTCCAAACCCAGAGGCTTTTGACAGTCATTCATGCTTCTATAAGACAAGACAAGAGGTCAGAAATAATTTGCCAGGAAACCCCATGGATAATGCCCATGGGGTCACATAGAGTCCTACATAACTGAAAAACAACAGCAACAATGTGCCATTCACTGTGCTAAGTTCTAGGCATACAAAAAGAGGCAAAAGATGATCCCTGCCATCAAGGAGCTTACAATCTAATGGAAGAGACATGCAGACTAATGTATACAAACTAATGTATATGGAGCTAATGGAGTTGGAAAGCCATGTCTAAACTCATAGTTTTAAGGTAAAAATGGAAAATTAGGTTGAGGCCAGATAGGTTGTATTTCTTTGTACTTCATTTTCAGGTTGTCTTCTCTCTCTGGGACATTTTATCAGTCCCCTCATTCTCCACACAATCCTGTCTTTGTCATGCCCAGCTCTTCCTTCCTTCCCTCATTCCCCCTACCCCTCTTCTCCCATCCTCTACTTCTGATCCACTCCAGCCCCTAGCCAGAGTCCAAGAAGAAGGGCTGAATTAGTTAAGATGCAGCCTGAAATGGAGGGGCCTCCAATATTACTGTGATATTCTGTGTAAGTTGCTGACTTGAATTACTTTAATAGAGGAAGAAATATTTCCGATGCTGAAAAGAAAAGTTTGAGTTTGAGCTCATCCTCCATCCTCAAAAATATGTTTGAATACTTATCATCCTCAACTGGCCACTGATTTGAACTCATCAGTTTTCTTTCCACCCCCATATTAATGCAATTTGATTCAACAACCTCAGACTAGTGCTAGAATAATTGGATAATAAACCAGTTTTCAATTTCCCCATGTCTAGAAGCCACCTGGATTTTCAGGAAATTCACCTAGTTTGTTCTAACCCCAATAGGACTTTTTATTAGTGGCTGGTTTGGGGGAAGTCGTCCCCAAGTCAGTGTTCTCTCCATCTGAGGGCTCTTGGTTTCTCCCCTTCCAGGTTGTTTGCTGTCAAATGTGGTGGTTGTTTTGAGGCCATTGCACCTAACGAATTTGTCATGAGAGCCCAGAAAAGTGTTTACCACCTGAGTTGCTTCTGCTGCTGTGTCTGTGAACGTCAACTCCAAAAGGGCGATGAGTTTGTCCTGAAAGAGGGACAGCTACTCTGTAAGGGTGACTATGAGAAGGAGCGAGAGCTGCTCAGCCTAGTGAGCCCAGTGGCTTCAGACTCTGGTAAGTGCACTAGTGGGAGGGAGAAGGGGAGGGAGAGTTCTTATTTCATGGAAAAAGGAACTTAGCCGTGAGTCAAAAGATCTGAGCTCCCAGATCATGTTATCTCTCAACTTGTTGTGAACCTAAGGAATGACTTAACTTCTCTTTTCCTCAATTTCCCATCTGTAAAATGGGGATCCTTCTTTCTAGCCAGAGATTAGCGCATTTTGGGGGGGTGTAACTAGAAAGATGCTTTCCCCTCCTTCATCTCCACCTATCTCAGATCAACTTTGAGCCCTTACTGCCCCTGAAGAGTGGAAAGCAAAGTAGAAAGAGCAATGAACCGTGCCTCAGAACAATTTTTACCTCTTCAGAAGAAATGGAATGAAATTATTTTTTCCCCAGACTCAGACTGGACTGTTATGAAGGTAGAATTGATAGTACTCAGCCAATGATTAAATACAGAGGGTGAGAGAGAGAGGAAGGAGTGGAAGATGACCCCTGGGTTGCAAGCCTAGGTGACTTGGGGGATGCCCTTTGCAATGATAGAAAAGTTAAGGGTAGTAAGTTGAATCCTAAAAGATCATGCTCCGGACTCCCATCCTCCTCTCCAAAAACCTTTCACTGGAGGCTCACACCTTGTATAAGGTAGCCATTTGCCTCTGCCCTTCACGATTCGAAAAGGTCTATATCCTATTGTTGGAATATAAAAAAAAAACAACCACGCTGTCCCCATTAGCATCATACAATTCTGATTAGACACAAACGTGGGACAATGATGATCATCTTTTGATTTCAGCTTCTAATGTAATGCCGCACGACAATCTGTACTGAAGTCACCACCACTCAGTACAAAGGGCTGACAACCGCAATCCCTTTATGATGTTTTCATAGCATCAGTAGTATAACAGCAGAGGACGTGGCACTGAGAAAGCCTGAATTTGAATCCTATCTATGCTGTACCTATTGGTTACGGGACCATGCGTGTCCTTTAGGCCTTTTCATCTGTAAAACAGCAATTATAGTACCTCTTTCAGAAGGCTGTTGTAAAGACCAAATGAGATATAAATATATACATGTATATGTTTATACATTTCAGGAAATTCACCCGTATTGTTCTAACCCCAGTAGGACTTTTTATTAGTGACTGGTTGGCGGGGGAGGAGTCCCCGAGTCAGTGTTCTTTGCATCTGTTTATAAGCAATGTTTATAAACATGTATGTCTCTCCAATGTTTATAAACGTAAACATGTATAGGTATGTCTATACACATATGTATACAATATAAATATACATACATATGCATATATTGTCTGAACAACAACAATATTTAGACTTTGTTGTTGTTGTTATTCAGTCACCTATGACTCTTCGTGATCCCATTTGGGGTTTTCTTGGCAAAGATACTGTCTGCCATTTTCTCTAGCTCAATTTAGGGGGATATTGAGGCAAGTAGGGTTAAGACATATAATTTACATATATGTATACAAGATATAAAACATATCATATGTATATATATACATGAATATATATGTGTGTATACACACACATATATGAATATATATGTGTATATACACACATGTGTATATATACATGGACATGCATACATGATGTCCCAGAAGTTTTAGTGCACTATTAAGCTTCAATTACTTTAAATTACACTAAGACTTTTGGGACACCTAGCATATCACTGTGTATATGACAGCTACTATTGTACTTGCTTTGTGATTGCAAGTCCCAATTATTTTTTTCTCCAAAAGGGTCATGTGATACAGATTTGCCCTTATTATAATAACAATTACTCACATGCCTGTACTTCCATTTTAAGGTTTGCAAAGCACTTCCCATCCCCAACAACCTTTTGAAATAGGCTGTACAAAATATTATTATTCCCATTTTAAACATGGGAAAACTGAGTCCCAAAGAGCCTTGTGACTTGCACAAACTCACATAACTAGCGGAGTTTGGGGATGAGTATAACAGTAGTTTTCAAACATTGGAAAGTTTGTCATATGGAAGAGGAATTATAATTGTTCAGTCTGGCCCAAGAAGGCAAGGGCTAATAACTGGATGTTACATAGAGGCAAACTGCAGCTCAACAGGAGGAAAAAATTCTTCACAATTAGGATGATGCAGAAGTGGAATGTACTATCCTGTGATGGGTATGAAAGGAGAAAAGGAGCTAGTAGGGAAACTTTGTTCTATCATTGGAGGTTTTAAACCAGAGGCTGAATGAGCGCCTCTTAGGCATGTTGTGTAGACTGGATTCATGATTCATGTAGGGGGTTTGCCTAGAGGATCCACTGGATCCATTCCACCTCTATGATTCTAAGTGTTGGGACCAACATGTTCTCTCTGGGATCCTCCATACTTCCCACAGACACCTTCCCAAAAAATCGCTTTTTGTTTCTTTTGTCCCTTGGCTGAACCTTGATGCCAATTACCCTATCTTATCCTTCTCCCCAACATCTACCACAGAAAAGAAAAAATGGCCCATTTTAGTCTCCATTGTCTAGACCATGTCTAGAGTATCATGTTCAATTTGGTACATCATGTTTTCATTCAATTTTTTTTTTATTTTATTTTTTTTAGGCAGTTGGGGTTAAGTGACTTGCCCAGGGTCACACAGCTAGTAAGTGTCAAGTGTTTGGTCTGAGGCCGGATTTGAGCTCAGGTCCTCCTGACTTCAGGGCCGGTGCTCTATCCACTGCGCCACCTAGCTGCCCCCGGGACATCATGTTTTCAGAAGGGTATTGATAAAGTGGACCATGCCCAGGGGAGTGTGCTCAAGATGGTGATTTATCTGGAAACCATGTTAAATGAGGAATCAATTGTGCAGGTAGGCGGCACAGTGGATAGAGTATCAGGTCTGGACTCAGGAAGACTCATCTTCTTGAGTTCAAATCTGACCTCAGTCGCTTCCTAACTGTGTGACCCTGGGTAAGTCTCTTCATCCTGTTTGCCTCAATTTCCCCTAAAATGAGCTGGAGAAGGAAATGGCAAACCATTCCAGTACCTTTGCCATGAAAACCCCAAATGGGGTCACAAAGAGTCAGACATGACTCAACAACAACAACAAAGTCTATATATTGTTGTTAAGAAAGTACTATTGCAGTCTGGTTAGATCAAATCTAGTATATTGTGTTCTGTTAGGAAGAGCACTGATAAATTGGAGAGCATCCAGAGGAAGCTAACTGGGATGGTATCAGGGTCTCAAGTTCATGGTGAATGAGGCTCTGTTAAAGAAATCGGGATGTTTAGTCTGGGAAAAAGAAGCAATAGTGGCCATATGAGAGCCATCTTCAAACATTTCAAGGACTGCCACCTGAAGGCACGATTATACTTGTCCTGTTGGGCCCAGATGATGGAATTTGGAGCAATAGATAGAATTTACAAAAAGAATATTTACAGAAATTTAGAAATTCACAAAATTGACAAAAAATTAGGCTCCATATTGGGAACCACTCACTAACAAAGTTAATCAGACATTGAATGGGATGCCAGTGGATGTAGTAAGTGCCTCTTTGGAGGTCTTTGAGCAAAGACTAGAGGACCCCTCTTTGGGGGGATTTATTTTTCAGGTATGGTTTGGACTTGATGGACCCTTGATGTCCCTTCAAACTCTGGAATTTTGCAATTTTGTGACTGTATAATCCTGGCAGAACTGGGAACAGATTCAGGGCACTTGCTTGTTTATCTGCTATTCTTTTATCCTTGGGTCTGTGCTTTGTCTGTGGTCTTGAGGCAAAATCATTAAAGTTGTGATGGATTCTGTAGCCAGCATCAGAAAACTTCCAACAAGTTGGCTGGCAAATCCTCCCGTTGCCAGGGTTACTAAGGAAAGCATCTGGGCCTGCCCCCTCCCCTCCTAGGGTGAAAACAATGGGAATAATAGCTCATGTTTATATAGCACTTTAAGATTTACAAGACCCTTTCCTCACAACAACCCTGTGAAGTAGATAGTAGAGGGATTATCCCCATCTTACATATAAAGAAACCGAGTCTCCAAGAGGTCAAGTGTCTAGCTCAGTGTCACCCAGCAATAAGTAGCAAAGGCAGAATTTGAACCTCGCTCTCTCATGACCCCAAGTCCGCTGCTCTTTCTTTTACACTATTCCCTACATCTCTGAAATAGCCCCAAGATAACGGCCGTTTCTAAAGAGGCAGCATGTTGTCTGACATTATTTGAAATAGCTTGAATCTAGGAAACCTGGATTCGAATCATCCTTGAGGCAATTACATGTGATCCCGGTCAACGGACAAATTAACCTCTTTAAGTTTCAGGTTCCTCATCTGTAAAATGGGTATAATAACATCTGTGCTACCTATCCCAGAAGATAACTGAGAAGAAACCACTTTGTAAACCTGAAAGTTCTACATGAGTATATCACAATTATCAAGTAACTGCTTCTCCCTTTTCTGAGTGCTCATAAACCATCTCATTAATATTCTAGTCAAATATTTTACCAGGAATCAATATTTAGCTCACAAGCCTAGGATCTGAGCTTATTTTTGGAACGTTCTTCCATGATACAGAAAACCAAATCTTGTTCCTTGATGTCAGAGGCAGCTGCTCACTTTTTCTCTATTTCTAATTCACAGCTAATGTACTAGTTAGTACAACATGGTCACCTCACCTGCTGCTAAGCCCTGTTGTTTCTATTTCTGAAACATCTCTCCTGCACCTCCTCTTCCCTTCTCTGATACAGCTGCCACTCAGATGCAGGCCCTCCTGGTGTATCATCTCTAGGCCATCCTTTGCTGTTGTTAAATCATTTTTCACTCATGCCCAACTCTCTGTGACCCCATTTGGGGTTTTCTTGGCAGAGATACTGGAGCAGTTTGTCATTTCCTTCACCAGCTCATTTTACAGATGAGAAAACTGAGGCAAACGGGGGTAAGTGATTTGCCCAGGGTAGCACAGCTAGTGTCTAAGGCTGGATTTGAACTCAGGAAGATGAGTCTTCCTGACTCCAAGCCTGGCACTCTATGCACTATAGCACCACCTAGCTGCCCCAGTCC